TCAACAATTTCTTTTCCGATCCAATGACCCCTCATTGTCAGTAGATGAAGAAGGAAGTAAAGCGTTGTTGATAAGATATGATGAAAGCCCATTTGTCAAAGCTAAAAGCTCCATTTTAGCTCCGAAGGCTATAAATTGTAAAACTCTTCTGCTTCTGAAAAAGCTCTCTGCTTTGTGCTGGGATGTCCTCAGAAAGTCTGGAAATGTACAGACTTCATGTTTGGTGACAATCCCTTCTGCTCTGCTTGGAAACACAATGACTTAGCCAGTGCAAATTGATTCTGCCTGTGATCACGATGACAGGGAGATGAAGTGAATTGTTGCCGTCAGTACGAAAGGATTCGTCAGAACTGAGAGTTCATCCTTGAAGAGCTGCGCACAGATTTGAGCTCTGGCACTGCACAAATACATCAAATATAAGTTTGACTGTGGGGGACCATGGTTTACTTCATCTCTCAGCTGGCTTTGAGGAAGTTTGTTCCAACTTCCTCTTCCAAGTATATAAATTTAAAGTTAGAAGTTTGGTGCTGGAAATGATTTTTGGAGCATTAGATGGATTTAATGCGAGGGGGGTTTGATACAGCAGTTTTCTATCTATCTATCATCATTAGATGAGTGTGTAGGTTTTCAGTTTGAGCTGGGAGCTGCAGCAGATGAGTTTTAAAGCTCTAGTTTCACAGTCTTCAGCTCCAACACTGTATTAGAATGTGTGATATTATATCAAGCAATATTATATCAAGTTTTTTTTATCTTTTACAGGCAAAACAAATAATTAATTTATTGGGAAGATAAAGAGCCGATGAGTTAGTTGCAGCCCTAGTAAAACAGACTTAGTGTGGGGTCTTATAAAGTCTAAAATTGAAACATCTCTATAAATGTCTTGAATATATTAGAAAATTCACTCCCTTACTATTTTGAATTACTTGTAGTGCAATACAGTTTGGTGATGAACACAAAAAGACACAGAACAAAACAAGAGGGGAAACTAAACTTAACAACACCAAAGAAAAAAGGGAAGGGAAACAAAAAAAGCAAAGGTAATAAAAAAGGAAGGGGCACATAGTGTTTGTCTTGATTATTTTATTGTTGCAGGGTGCAAGGGGTTTTGTGTAGAAGATGTAAAGAAAGAGTAAAACAGTCAAGGTTATACATGGAAAACACTAAATGTTAGGTTTTGGAGAGAAAACCTGGTAAGAGGACAGAAATAAAGAAAACATGTCTGCGTGTTTGTTTGTTTACAGCCACCACCAGCGATCACAGACAAGCAGCTGGATGAACGAGAGCACACAGTGGAGGAGTGGAAAGGTATTAAAGATCCCCTCCGTCCTCTCTTCTCCTCTCTTTTCCTCTCTTCTCCTGTCCTCTCTGATCAGCTGTCATAAGTGCTTAGCTTTTTGCAGTGTGTTGCATAAGGTCTTTCTATCTTTATGCTTTTGTAGCCTGTAGGACTTTTAATCTTTCTCAAACTGAGGTGAATGTTCCTCTGCAGTCAGTCTGAATTCATAAATCCTGATCCACTGTAACTCTCCTCTTGGTTTTCTCTTCTCACTTGTAAAACATGTACATTTTATTATGTCTGCATCCAAATACAATAGAATTGACACTGTAGTAAGATAATGCTGTAAAATATTAATCTGTAGTATTCTTATATCAAGAAATAATCCATCTGTGATGAATTTAACCTGGAAGAAAATTGGCAAAATGAAAGAAATGATGGTAAAACATGAGTAAAGAAAAGAGAAAGAGGGTGTGATGCTTCCTTCACGTAGCTGCTCCTTCCTGTGGTGACGGAGCGATAATGACTGCAGTGGCTTCACACCTGAAGTGTGACGTGTTGGTGTTACCACACACTCCTGGAGAACACATCGCCCCATGTTTCGCTCCAGATTAAACTGTAAAATATTTTCCTTATGAAAGTCAAAATTGCACAATTCAGTTTGAATTGAAAAATCCCCCAAAAAACAAAATGGTGCAATTATATTCTAACGATATTTATTGTCAGCTACTTAAAAATAAATGTGCTTAAATTTAGGAAAATGTTTTTTTTTAAATTAGAAACAGTTTTCTCTCACTACATCACTTTTTTAGAGAACGTCATGTGAAATATATTATTCCACATCATCATTTCTACTATTATACTCCTTCTCTTACAGCTCAAGATTTTGACACCTCGATTTTACAGCACTTATCCCTGTGTTTTTCTCACCTCGTCACTGAATCAAACCTTTGCTCTTTGTTTGCTGCAGAGTTGATATACAAAGAGGTGCTGGACTGGGAGGAAAGGACAAAGAATGGCATCATCAGGGGACAGCCAGCGTCCATAGGTTAGTGGATTTGATTGTTGTGTGAGACTGCATGTTCAAATGAGCTTTAACCATCTCACAGAAGGACAATGGATGACAGCGTAGACTCATAGAGCACAGTGCTAATTCTGGGTAGGTCCTCCCTTTGTTCCCCTCCTGAGCTTCAGTTCTTTGAGTTATGGATGCCACCATGTTGGAAACATTTCTTTGACATTCTGAAAGAGCTCCCTCCCTCTAGCATGACTTTGTTAGCCAACAGTCGATGGCTGACTACCAAGGCCCTCTCTTGTTTCTCACAGCACAGGTGCAACAGTGAGCAGCAGCCCCCCCCAGCACCACCCTTCCTCCTCGTAGGCATCCTTCCCCCCTCCATGTCCACCCACCTGACCCTGACCGATGCTGACGGCAGCCTGGAGACGGCCCGCACCGCCACCGCTGCTGCTATGGCCACCGGCCCCCTGGGCTGCTGCAGATGACTATCGTCTACACCTCCTCCTGGTCCCAGGCTGGGCCACGCCCCCTGGTCACCTCTGACCGTTCAGCCTGACGCAGGCTTTAGGCCCCGCCCCCTGCATCTGAGTCCTCCCACCTCCTCCCTGTGCTCGTCTTCAGTAGTGTAGTGATTAGCCAGCTAGCTGTTAAAGAAATATTTCTGAAAGGACAGATCATTTTTCTTTTTTTTTTAATGAGTTATAGTCCTTTATTTTTAAATTAGGAGGGTTTTTTTGTCCTAGCTGTAATTTATTGTGGCATTTCTTAATTTTTCAGAAACCTAAGATGATGATAAGAGAATTTTTATGATTTCACTACGTTCCGGTTTGTATTAACCGACAGTGAGAGTTTTAAGAAATATCTGTTTAATGTGATTTATTTTTCTGTTGAAAGTCATTTGTTTTCACTTGCTTTTACAACTTGCCATATAAATGTAGACAGAGTTTGTACAGATTTTATGGTAGATGTAGTTTTATCTATGAGTTTGCAGTGAGCCATTGAGACATAATTTTATTGACAAAAGTATGGTCTAAGTACTCCCCTTACCTTATGTCACGTTATATGGATATTGTTTTAAATGCATATGGCATATGCATTTATTTAGATGACCGAGGTCACTTGGATTTATTTGTAAAACATTTTTTTCTTGTGAGTCACTACTACAGCCTACATTGTAAATTTCATCTTAATGAAATCTTTTAAATTTTTTTCCTTCCTCACTTCCTGTTTAGTCAGAATTTGAAAAATCTTGAGATATTCTTTCAGCATATGATTCATTTTACAATCTACACTTGAGATATGGGATGGATAATGGAACAGTGAGGCCCAGCAAGATACTTTGGAACATTTTGACGACTGTGCGTTTTTAAGTGCTTTAAAGTACCTCCTCTCTTGTCTGCAACAGGCAGTGGGACATTGTGGAAGTGAAGTAGTGGTGTTGCTTTGGAGAACTGGATGCACGGAGCTGCCTCAAGTTCTCCTCTGGTTTGCTTTGACATGAGGGACTAGAATGTTTTTTTTGTCGTGCTTCGGGAGGTTTGTTTGAGAGACGTAGCGTTGTGCGTTGGTTTTAAAATCGGTGACGGTGTTAAGTAGAGTGTGCTTCAGTCAAGTAGGGAATTGTGATATTGAGAACGCGTGTGAACATGTTGGTATTAAGTGTCTGGGAGAGATTTGCGATTATGCAGCCTGATGGTGTGACAAGATGTCTGCTTCCTACCACCAGATGCTGTTATTAGTAATGTACTTTTGTGAGTTTGAAAAATCAAAAGTGATCTTTTTTGTCTAAAAGTTGGCCAAACACTTAGCTTACCAGACTTGCCTGCAATTGTGAATTAAAGAACCTAAATCTTTGCATGTTGAAACAGCAGCACAAACGAGCCGAGTAAAAGGAAACGTTATTCTTACTGTATGCAATAATAGTGCCCTTTTTAAGTGTTTTTGATTTGTTTTGAAAGGAAAAGTGCCTGTTTGTCATTCATTCCTGAGTACGTGGGAGGAAGTGTATTCATTACGTGTAGGTTTTTATTGGATAACAGTAGTAGTGTCCATATCAAACCGATAATGTATGATGGGGTTGTAGTTCTCACAAATGTATTGTATATTTTTCTACTTGTTTTGCTTTTGACCCTTGGGGCAGGAAGACTGTGGTGTCTTGCAGGGTAAAGAAAGTGGCGATGTATGCGGCGAGATGCTTAAGCATGTGTTTGAGTCATTTCAGAAGAAAGGGCAGTTTTATCAAGGTCTTTCATCAAAGTAATACAAAAAGCGATTTCTTTGCAGTGACAGCAACTGAAATTAATTTTAATTACACTTTTTCGGCTCCTTTTTGATGAATAATTAAATGTGATGATTGTAAAAATAAAAAAAAGAAAAATGAACCGAAATGTTCAGATTTGAAGTTAAACTACTGCAGCAAATGAAATGAGAGAATTCTATTATATTGTCAGTATTTTCTGGATGGTTTTGGATGTTAATAGTTAAAACACAGATTTATGTTGTCGACCTTTGAAGATCATGATCATTGTGGTCATAAATTAGTAAATCAAAGGATTTGACGATATTTAATATTTTTGCTCTGTGCACCATTGAGACGTTACGTAGCCGTTTCGCCTGCTCAAAATGTTTGCGTAACTAAACTTCCTTTCTGCGAGAGGCAGATTATGGATGCATCTGTCACAGGTTGTAAGCATGTGTGATGGATTTTGAAAGAAGAGGCTTAAACGTCAGTACGCTATGATTATCTAAACGTGTAACACAGAGAGTACCTCTGTCTAGAACCTGTCTTGGTCCCTGACATGGACATGTACCCACTAAACTAACTCTGTAGGTTGTCTGTAGCTTTGTGCTCAGCTTCACTGACTTGTATTTAATGACGGCTGTAGAGCTGAAGTAACCGTTCACGTACAACTGGACTTGCACCAGCTATTTGGGAATCCATTACCAAATAGAAGTCTGTGTTATTCCTTGTAATTTACTAAATCGGGTTGCACCTATAAAACAGCTGCCAAAAGTACTTTGTTGCACTGTAGTGAAATCAGTGTTAATATTACAAAGCTGTAAGATTTGAGGCTTCTTCTTAAAGGCAGACAGTTAAGTATTTAGATTTGAAAATGAATTTGTATGTTGTAGAAAGTGGAAAAT